TCAACATTCTGAAAGTGAAAGTACAAGTGAAAAAAAATTGCAGTTTTTGTCGTCACGTCATAAAAAGGATCGTGGGGCAGAAAGTTTTACGCAATATCAAACCACCACATTCATTCAAAAACAGCATCTTCTGAGTCGTAGACATGGATATTCAAAAATTTTGGCTTTACATCAAGTCAATAAGACAAATGGCTATAAGTCACACCTTGTACTTTTGTGCAAACAGTTTCGTAATTTATAGACATGTGGCACTCTATAATTAGGGAGTGTTTAGCCCTTTAATAATGGCTCGTGTTAAGAGCGATTCAATATTTGTAGAACATAAATACCGTTGTGACGAACTGATTTTACGGAGTAAATACAACAGCTGCTTGCTAATCAAATGACACAAATTCCAAAAGCGACTATTTATCCCTTTTTTGAGTACCTGGTGAAATTGCTTTGCTAACTTCCGTTTGATATGTGTACGCTCCCTCGACAGGATCTAAAAGTACTGATGGAGGGAACCGGATCCTTGTTAAAATTGACGCAACAGACGTTCAAGTAACGTGCTCGATAGACACAGACGGGCTGCCCCTGAAAAACTTTGCGTGGTTTGAGTGTCCAAATATGGAACAGATGAAAGAGTGCAGAAAGGACCGGGACAAGTATAGAAAAGCTTGGATAAAAAACAGAACAGTTATCAATCACTATCCTGACGAGTATAAACTCAGTGTAGATAGAACACTGAGTATACTGAAGATATCACCAAAGTATGACGGAACGGTATTCCTTTGCATAGGAGAAATTGAGTACCATGAAGCGCTAGAGAACACCACAATTATTCAAATAATCAAAGGTAGGATTATATTTCCTTTAAAACTCTACTCATCATTATTAAAATAAAGCAAATGTGGGCACTGCCTCCACTCTGAAACAACCACAACAGGGGTGGATCCAGAAAATTAGTTAAAAGGGGCTGAAGCCTGCTTTGATTCATAAAAAGAAAGAATTTTTTTCGGGGAAAATGACTCCCCTGGTACCATTGGAACCTGTCGTTACAAGAATTTTGGTCTCCAACAAGTCTAACTAGGGGATGGGTTTATTTTGACACCGGAATTTCCCCCTGGATTCTTCAATGCACATGAGTTCAAACTTAAGACAACAAAGCACAATGCATCTGTGCGCTGACGTTTCTGGCGACAAAAAAGAAACAATTTAAAATTTTTAAAATTTCAAAAACTGGTGATTTTTATCATTGGTGCTCATGGTAATACAGCTCATCTCATGTATTCAGCTTCTAGATTTTTTTTTTTTTTTTGCAATAAATTCTATAAGATTGTAATCAATTACCACCTGGTTAGCATGCGGGTTTCTGACAAGTTCCCCAGACTTTTGAACTGTGTTATACAAATCGAGTTATCATAAAACTCCCATAATTGTTTGTTTTTCTTTCAGAGAAGCCCGTCATTAAGATAAAAAGTCCACAACCGTCCTCGGTGATCGAGGGATCGACTCTGCACTTAAACTGCGTCGCAACGGGTTTTCCTCGTCCCCGGGTGACCTGGGTTCGAATTCGTGACGGGCAGGTGCTTCAAAATCAAACAAACGACGAGGCCACAAGTTTAGTGCGAAATTTCACCAAGTGTGACGAAGGAGAATACCGTTGTACAGCCAAAAATCGTCTGGGAAGTGATAATTATACACTTCAAGTAATTGTCATCGGTGAGTTTTTAATATGTAGATCTGAGATGAAGGGTACTCTCTCTATATATATATATTTATACAATTCGTGAGCGGGCGGTATTCTATAAATATTGCGACCTGATTGGTTCCGAGAGCGGAAATTGTTCTTATTATTCGTATTACTCTGTTGAGTCGCTTTGCAGAATATCTCTAGCTTCGTTGCAATTTTTTTTTTTTATAAATATAACTTGTTTTGTCGGCTGAGCATATTTTAAGCAAAGACTTAGGTCACGACCTTTAGCCTGTAAGTGATTTATTAATTATCTTTTCTCTCTCTATCAAAACACATATTTTTACACAAAAATTTATTTCGAAATGAATTTTGTGGTACTAAATGTGATAAATGGAACTGTCCCCCCTTCTCTCTCTTTCTCCTCTCTTTCCCCTTTTTCTTTCCTCTTCTTTCTCCCTCTTCTCTCTCCTCTCTCCTCTCTTCCTCTTCTCTCTTCCCCTTCTCTCACCCCTTCTCTTTCCCCCTTCTTTCTCCCCCTTTCTTTCTCCCCTCCACCTTTTCTCCCCTTATCTCTCCCATCTTCTCTCTCTCCTCTTCTTTCTGTCTCTTCTCTCTCACCTCTCCTCTGTCCCCCTCTTTTCTCTCCACTTTTCTCTCCTCCTATGTCTCTCCCCCCTCTTCTGTTTATTCTCACTCCCCTCCTCTCTTCTTTCTAACTTCTTTCTCACACTTATGCTCCTAAATGAGATACACCTGTTTTACGATGGTATATGTTAAATCTTCCACGAAGGTAATACTCCAAGCTCAGAGGCACCTGACCCTCCAGATTTGCCTCCCTCAGGTACGTAAACTGTTGATATTGGCCGAAAAACGGTTTGTTTCTTTCTTTGCCTTTTTTCCTTGGGGAAAACAAAACTAAGAGGGCAACAAAAACGAAGGTTTCTCGATTATACATAAACGGTTTGAAGTAGTATGACAGCGTTCCCCTTGCTCTTTTTTGCCGAATTTTGAATTAAGCTTGTTTTCAGAGTTCAGTAAATCTGAGTATGCTATGCATGCGGTGAGGACTTCGTAACGCATTAGATGTTTAAATTGAAAACACCTTTCTTGATTGAAGATTAGAGATCGTAGAAAATGAGTTTTATGCTTCACGCATTTTGCTTGAGCCTGGTTATCACGGTTAGTGAATATAATAAACTGACAGAGAATGATGAAATATTTATTCATAGGTGGATGCAGCAAAGAAGTGGGTTTTGGCACAGCGATAAAGAACCACATAATACTCTCGTTGATAATTGCTCTGTCTATGAGTTGCGTTTTTCTTTCATTTATGCTGTTAAAGCGTAAATGTAAGGATGCCAAAATTAGACGGAAATTCCGGAATGCATGTGGACGGATGTGCAGATGGAGGAGGACAGTCTCTGTCATTTCAAATACAGAACTTGAGAACAAGGCAGCCCCCTGATTGCGCAGGTTAATGTGTCTAACCCTGGAGTGCTTATAGACAATAGACAATAGGCCTATGTGGCAGGCCTGATCGGTATTCTATTGTACTCATGTAAATTTGCCTAACTAGCCTCAACTTTGAGTTGAGGTTTTATTGGTACTATGTGACTAAGCTAGATGGGCAAATCCGCGTGAATACCAAAGAATATTGTACATTTTATGCACATTGCTGCATCAGTGATACATTTATCCGTTATACAGATAGAAATTGGGGTTCTTGATGTCAATTTCAAGCCTAAACTGACAATTCTATCTTAAAGGTTTTTTTTTCATTTAATTAGTTCTTTTCATTTATTTTCTTTTCATTTTCTTATGTAGTTAGCATTTCTATTTTCATTTTAGTATCAGATTATTTAAACCAAGAGAAATTAATGCTTTTCACCGCAAAATATTTATAGAGCTGATAATTTGACTTAAAGATAATTAAGAATGCGAAAGTTATCTGACTGCCAAATGAATGCGTATTTTGAGAAATCCCTTTGAATTCAATTCCATGAGAGACTAAAGTAAAGATAAACAAGTGATGTTTAAAAATTGTGTATTTTGAAAAAAAGGATTTGGAAATAAAAATGAGTTATTTTGCTTTTGGGTTGTTTCTTTGACTCTCTGTTCGCTTCCTGAGGCATTTTTTAAAACCTTTCTTGGGAATTCGGATCTCGAGTTTCACGTTAACAATATTTTTGTTAGAGACCAGGAGGACTAGACAGTTCGAAACTCCTTTTCAAATTAAGCCTCACGGATGATGATGATATTAATGATAACAGTAATGAAAATGATGATATTGATAATAATGATGATGACTGTGATAATAACAACAATAATAATAATATATAATAATCGACTGTGAATATATGAAAGTCATATATTTGAACTTCGGATAAAGGCGTGAATATCAAAGAGATCTTTGCAGTAATGAACACTACTTGAGCAGTAGTGAAAATAAGGCCTGAAAGAAATTCAGGCTTGTACGGGATTTGAACCCATGACCTCTGCGATACCGGTGCAGTGCTCTACCAACTGAGCTAACAAGCCAACTGGGGGCTGGTTATCATGTTGGTTCTAAATAAACCCATGAAGTGGGCACTGCACCGGTATCGCAGAGGTCATGAGTTCAAATCCCGTACAGGCCTGAAATTTTTTCAGGCCTTATTTTCACTACTGCTCAAGTAGCGTTCTTTACTGCGAAGACTCTTTCATATTCACGCAATAATAATAATAGTAATAATGCGTTATTTGCATGGTGCGTGTTAATATGTTCCAATGCCCCTTACATATACATCCAAACATAAATATAAAACTTATGCCCATGAGATGTACATAAGAATAAAATTCATCAATAGATTCCATGTTGCCTTGCTTCTATTCAATACAAGACCATAGATGACGTGAAAATGAGGTAAGAACAAAAAAGTGGCAGTCGAGTGAGTCAATAACGTTCTTGCCATATTTGACGACTCCTGTGATCTGTTGCTAAACAGACCCACACTGTACAGAGCCACATTAACATAGAGTCACTTGGATGACCTGGCACTCTGGTGAGTTAGTTTTGTATGATAATTGTCGAACAAGTAGAGCTGTCACCACGTGAATGACGTCAGTCCTTATAAGTTCATTGCTATGACCTGTTTTACAAGATTGCTCTAAATTTCTACATGGTTACTTTTTTCCTAGGCTTTTATCGGCACATGGATCACTTTGCTGTTGTCAAGTAAGCGGAGATTCCAATAACTAGACGGTGCGTGCTCTGTTGGTATTCATTAGTCAGTTCTCGGAAAAGACTGGAACTGCGAATCCATTAAAACTGATACGAATCAATGTCATAATTTTATGGAAGTTCGTCATTTCACGAAGCCAAGAAGCATCGAGAATGAGGCTTATCAGGTTTTACATCCTGTTCTTTATATCTGTCGTGCCAGTTCTCGTAACAGGTTAGTTCAGTCATTTAAAAAGCCTCAATCGAAGAGGAAGCTTCGAACGCATATAAGGGGAATTATAAGGAGCCACGTCGTGTAAATTTTCAGTGAACATGTGGTTTAGCAAAAGGCGGTAGCGACGGCAACACTTATAATTTAGATTTAGCTTCGGTGAGACGTGAATTTTGGAAGCAGTATTTCCAATAACCTTCATGTTCGACTATGAATATAAATAGAAAATAACACGTGGCCAAATCTTCCAGTTGTCGAGTTTCGTTCCCAGCCGCGAGAAACGCCATGACAAAGCCACTGAATACATAACGTTCGTCGGGTTTTTCTTTTCGTTTGTTGGTTTTCTTCCCCTTCCAGAGAGTTTAAACGTCTCTGCCTGTCGGTTTTTAATGTTCTAGCCGCCATAATCCGATGAAATTCCGACAAACTAACTCGGATCGAGAATTGCCGTTCATTCATCAACCTGACTTAGTGGCGCAAAAGGCGATTGACGTGTCAGCAGCTGATTGGCGATATCCAACACACCTGAAAAAATGTCGTATTTTCTCACGTGTGTTAACGTTCTTACGGCTTTTCTCAGGGTCGGAAAGCCTTGTATAGCATAGTAGTTTACACGATAAACGACACAGACAATCTCTAAATAATTAATGGCATAACCGCGTGTTGGGGTTCGGTGAGGATGTCGCTGTAGGTGAAAAGTGTTTGATTAAACGTCCATTAAATAAGTGTACTATCATATTTATTTTGCTGCCTGCAAGTGTTGACTTTTCCGACTGAGACCCATTTAAAAGTAAAGTTAGGTGTTTGTCCTTTTCTGGCGCCATTTCCTTTCAAATGTTGATTGCCGGCTTTCAAATTTCTTCCATAATAGTATTAGCATTAGCATATCAGTTGTTATGTTGCTGTTATACTAATGCAATGCTAATGAGGTATAAATACTGAACATGTCCGGCCATTCTGCGCCATGAGAGAGTTGGTTCAACTATTCAAACATATTCACTAACTGATACTCTGAAGTTATAAATTAAAGCACAGTTCACGGTTCAGATACTTCGATTTATTTAATGACGCTCGTACCTCTAAAATATGACCTTGACTTCCATCAATGAATAATATTTGTATTTGAATGAATGTCTACTTTCGTTCATGGTTGATGAAGCTCTGTGGCGAGATGATTCCAGGAAAACATGGATCTTCTCAGAAAAAAATAATAAGGAAAATCATCGACCCAATTAGTTACCCTCTAATAGCCTAGAACTAAACTATGCCTTCCCCAAAAATAGTCTGTTTACTCAAACTCTAAGAAATGTCTTTGGTAAAGAGGAAATGACCCAGGGAAACTTAATAGTTAGAGGACAAAAGTTAAGTATACAGGAACAACCTTAAATATTGAAGCCTTCTTTTTTTAATTCTGACAAGTTGCCAGCACCATCCAACCGAGACAGTCCAGTGCTACAACGACAGAGGGGTCAAGTGTTCTCTTCGAATGGGATTTTCATCTTCAAGATGAGGACGAAATAGAATTAACAGGGTTCATTTTTGGCCTTTGGGAGAATGGTTACACCACGTTTTATCTTATGACGGTAACCAAGCAGGGAAGAGTGATTTCTAATCCTCAGTTGAGCAAGACACATCCTACTTACGTTGGGCGAGTGACTTGGGTAGGAAACATATCGAAGTCGTATTTGGCCTATAAATTGGTGAACCTGACTTTCTCCGATAGCAACACATACGGATGTCAAATTGACGTGGGAGGTTTCCGACGAACAATTCATTCTAAGATCACCTTACATGTCCAGGTAAGATTCTGATGGCAAACTTGACGCGTATCTGCTTCTATGTACGATTGGACCTTGCCTGGCTAAGCCTTTAAGGCGTAATCATATATACACGACCTCTCACTTGCCCCAAGTAATGACGCCTCATTTTTATGTGGAAAGCTGAGATCGAGTGGCAAAATTATTTTGGGATACCTTGCTTGTGGCAGCGGTATTCAGGGCAATTCTTTTGTAATTCAGGGTCAAATTTACATTTTTTTTCTTTGACTTTTCATGTTCGTGTTTTAAGTGGCGATTTAAAAATTGCAGCGCGAAATTTTTCTGATAAGGAGGTTTTGGAAAGTGCACTCAAAATGTAGGCGGAGTCTCCGCACGGTTTTAACGTCATCAGAAGGTTCATATGTTTTAGAAAAATGTCCGTTAAAGTTCCCATGGAAAGCATCTGAAAAGCATATAAAAAGTATTATCCCCTAAGCATCCTTTTCCACTTGCTTTGAAACTTGTTCTGGAAGCTTACATTGGTGCTCAACATAGTACTCGAGAAGTTAGTACTGATTTATGTACATTATTGGTTATGTTACTCAGCGTTACTACTACGATCATATCTAACAGCTCATTCCATTAGTAAAAGATTTTATCCACTCAAAGACGTTCGGGTTGTAAAATGAGCTTTTCCGCTCAGCTCACTTTTAATAAAAATTTCGATGTTTGGGTTCTGCTAGGTTAATAATAGCTCAGTCAAAGAAGGAGAGAGCTATCATACATATCACGTTCCAAGAGCACGAAAATGGGAACAAAAAGAGTCCGTCGGTCGGTGATTCATGTCGTCTCGTCGTTGCTTTCCCGAGCCGAATTTCTAGGAACTTACCTTGGATCAGCGCATCATCAGTTAATGTGCTTTAAAATTTTTGCTTTTGTTCGTTTTGTTTTTTGCCTGTTTTTTTCTTCTGCAGAGGGCCTTATCAGAATTTCTCGTGTGTCTTTTAATTGTCTTTCGTTTTTCCATCTTTTTCATCTTCTTCCGTTATAATGATAGGTTTTAGTATATTAGCCCATTATATTAAGTAACAAAAGGATGCTCCGTTTCTGTTTATTGCATGTCTTCTTGATACACTTTTGGATACTTGATTATCCACGAGAGGTAACAGCACTACTGAAGTGTTGATATTAAACTTGTGGCAACCAAACCGGTTGAAGTTTGCGACAAAGGAATGAAACGAATATAACGCAACCGAAATACTGGACCTAGTAAATAAGCTCAAAAAATACTCACATGTCGCCAGATTGATTTAAATTTTCTTTTTTTTCTTTCCCAGGCGATAAATGCATCAAAAACACCTGAAATGAGTGTTTCTTCCATATGGAACCATGCTCCCAATGCTACATCGAGCAAATTTGTTCCATCATTAAAAGCGGGTAAGTTTCTTTATTAACTGTGTGCTTCTTCGTTCTTGGGTATGTTTTGGTTTATCAATTGAGTTGGAAATTAACTTGGCCACCATAAAGAGTTTTAGGGCAGAGAAACTGCTTTATGGTAGCCAATTTACATTATCAACTCAGCTGATAAACCAAATGATGGTATAAATTGTTATCTTTTTGGCTGTTGTTCATGTTTTGTTGCATTATTTCCCGATTTTTTATCTCAGTTATAACGTTGCATGATGTTAGGAAATTAGACTAGAAACAGTGTTATCAGTCCTTTAAGTACTGAACGATTTTCTATAAAGGGAAAGATATATAGTTTCCCTCGAAGGCTAATTTGGGTATGGTCTTCTCCCGGGAAGGGGTGGCTATTCAAATTGGCGTTCAAATAATGATGTCATTCAAAATAATTCCGATCAGACTTTAACCGTAAAACTAAAGGACAAAAATTATGTTTCAAATCAGCATTCTAAATCTCCACGGTATCACGGAGAAATCTTGAGTTTAATTAAGAAACTCTTTGCAGTGGCCAATTTATATTGATATCTACATCAAATATTATTAGGATGAAATCAAACTGTATTGCACTAACTGTTTGCCATACAGGTGTCCCAGAAAATGCAACAGCGGGAAGTGTAACAACTTCGAATTCAAACATCTTGGTATCACACGGTACGCTTTCTTGTATCATCTCTTAGTATGTATGATATTTTTAGCGTCAAAGATGTGCCCCCCGAAAACTTAATGCCAATACCCAATCGTATTAGTTTCCAAAATATTACCCTCGGTAAACTACTCGGTAAACTATCCCAATATGAAGAAATAGAAATACAGTATAAACATCCATTGCTACGTTTCTGAAAACGTCCACTAAGCGCGGAAATTCAGGCAATTTCATTTTACTTCAATTGACAGTAATCACAATCTGATTGGCCAATTTGCCGTTCTCAAAAACAGGTAATCCGTTCTCTCTCGCGTGACGCTTTTCGCACAAACGCGTTCACTATGCACCTTCCATGACTTTCAGGGAATTTTATCCTATTTAGAGTGACTCGATGTTGGAACGAAATCCCAGTTCTCACTACGTTCACCACAGAAATTTAAAGAAATTGTGTGCATTTACAGAGCAGTTTCTTCAAAAATTTTGATTATGCGCTCAATTTCGTTTCTCGTTTTATGTATTTGTTTTTTTTTTAATTTTTCGATAGGGAAAGCCGGTTCCGCGAAGTCAAAGTGGGAATTAGGGGTTGAATACTTATCTTACCTGTCAGTCCTTGCCATTCCACATTTCTTAGAGCTGTGACTTCCAAGCTCTGAAGGAGAACTGGAGTGAATAGTGAGTACTAGTTAAGACTAGTACTATGTGAGTACTAGTTAGGATTTTCAACTTTCCCTTTTCGTTTAGATTTACCCGTTGTGGTTTCTATGTTGTCAAGTACGATAGTTCAAAATAATAAGTGTCTTTGTGGTATTCGATGAGATTTACTTACACTCTAAAATCAGTGGGCATAAAAACTTCATATGCAGGAAATATCAATGTTTATTTTTCCTTGGTATCTTTAACAAAAGAAGGCATGGCAATTTCCCAAGTTAAAACTTGTCATAAGTTTCAAACTTCATTGAAAAATTAGAAAGAGTCCGAAATATCCTAAGCAACTGGAAATATCGCAGACTTACTCTCTTAGGAAAAATCACGGTATTAAAAAGACTTGTTGCTTCACAACTCGTTTACATTATTACACCTCTATGCTTTAATGAGAATATCATCCATGAAATAAACACACTCTTCCATTCATTTGTTTGAAATGGGAAAAATGGCAAAATTAAACGAAGTGTAATGTCTAATGACTATGAGGAAGGTGGTCTAAAAATGAGTAATATTTAGTCTTTTAGTATGACTTTAAGGGCCACGTGTATCACAAAATACCTAGATAACGCCAACCAGGGCAAGTGGAAACTTTTCTTTGATCTAGAATAAGAGAGGTTTGGTAACAGCTTGCCTTTCACGGGAAATCTTAACACAAAAGACGATGAAAAAATCTCTAAGAACTCGGGAAAATTCATCAAATAAATAATACTATCATAGACAGAAAACAATTTTGAGAAATGCATAAACTCCGAAAGTCAGTTTCTAGAGTATTCGGCACAACTCACTTATTAAAATTGATGAACTTCCCTTCTTTTTAAAAGTATGGCACTAACATGGTATTGGGAAAGTAAAACATTTCAAAGATGACGAGAGCAACTTTCATACTCTACAAGACTTTTGAAGTAAATTTAAAACGTAGTTCAGCCTTAAGTAAACATCGGAATAATTTCCATGTTAAAATCTGTTTGGAATGCATGCAGAAAGAGTATCAATGGAAACATCACCAACAAATATCAAAGCTTTCCGACAACGTTAAAAAAAGTCTCAATAACCTTGCCGAGTAAAAACAAACACTATTGCTATTATCCGTATAGCAAGTAATTTAGTGCTAAAAACAATTGTTAAAAAGTTGGTAATATGACGATCGTAATACCAGTATTCCATGTAATTATTAGTTTTAGTATTGTTTGCAGTGTAAGCATTTTATTCGAGCAAGTTTCTGTAAGCTGTGACGCGACTTTTATGAGTAATGACAGCATTGTATGTAATTGTTAGTAGAGCAAGTAATTGTAAGTAGAGTAAGCATTGTTATCTCCATCAAAGAGGGTGAAACAACAGCAACAAAAGTAAACGAAGAAGCAAGCCTTTACTTTTACAAATATCTGAGTGTGTATCAGGATACCACTTTCAGCTAGCTGGTCTTTTTAAAGATCCGTGTTTGATTGAATTGACAAAAATTTTCTGATTGCTGATGAAATCCGTTACTTCATTTACGATTGCCTCTTTTCCAAATACATTCCAGAAAACTAGAGTCGTGTTAACTCGACCTAACATCTCTACGATTATACACTCCTCAATCAGCAGTTTGAAATAAAGGAATCTTGATGTAGGCTTCTTAGTAAATATGTTGCTCTTTCTACAACAATACTTTTCCTTTAACACTGATTAGGAAAAAAAAAAGAACTTAAACTCTCAATATCTGTTGCAATGCAGGTGTTTGACCAACTTAGGATCAGAAACTAACCCATATCCCCGTGCATGTACCAACAACCATATCCAGCTTTGGAAACTCAACAGTGACCACACCCTCTGGCCCAAAGATGACACCTAAAAATGCCCCTTCTTAATTGAACCTGGAAATAGCGATCTTTCCTCCGGCTTTTAAGTGTTGCCTTGCGATTCCAACGATCCTGACAAGAAGTTCAACTTTGAGTACCTAAGACAAGAGATGCCGAGTGAGCCTACGTTGCGCACGTTCTTTAAACTCGAGACGAAGAATAACGGTTTCCCTTATGATGGTTGGCAAGGG